TAGCAAGAACGCTACTAGGGGCTCCTGGCCTTACTACTAGTAGCAAGGACGCTACTAGGGGCTCCTGGCATCGCTACTAGTAGTTAGAAGCTACTAGGAACAAAGTCCAAAAGTCTAGTGTTTCTTAGGCTAAGGTGGCAACCCACAGAGCCAGGCAACAGGGCACTGCTGTGCACAAAAACCCAACCTGAAGAACAAAAGCACTACAAGCAGTGACAAGCAGTGACAGGAAGAGCAAGCAAAGCAAAGACCTACAGCAATGCCTCCTGAGATTGGACTGTGAGCGTACTGCTGTGTAAGAGGCGTCTTCTATTATTGCCATATGTGCTCGCCTTCCAGCGATGCTCGATGCTGCAAAACAGATTCCTTAGATCATTGAAAAGCTGATGAGCTCATCCAAGTGAAACTTTTGCCGTCCAGCTAAGAACAACAGAATCCTCGGCACTCCAATCAAGTTATATAAGTCTTGGAGTCTTGTTCTTGTGCAACAATCCCATCATGCACCGCAACAAGCTGAGAAATGCTAAGGTAAACACTCCAGGACTATAGGAGACCTGGCGCTTGGAGTGTGCAGCACACCGAATCAAACAGTTTGTCTCAACGTGGAGAAAGCACCTTCTGCCCTGTGATTTCAGCCATCTGACCGGGTCCTGTGCCAATAACTTTGATGATATCTCAAGCTGCCAAAATAAAGGTCGTCCTGGAAGAGCTTCTTCAGGAATGTCAGAAACGGGCACCACAACCTACCCGAGTCGTGCTTTGTATGACAACTTGGTATTTGGAGGAAATCACTACGAAGCAGTCATGGGAACAAACTAGGAGCAAGGACGCTACTAGGGGCTCCTGGCCTTACTACTAGGAACAAGAAGCTACTAGGAGCAAAGGAGGAAAGAATTCTGGGAAAAGAACCATCAAGGCCATCGTCAGCAGCCATCAGGCAATTGGAAACGATGCACACGCCGCACAGGATCGAAAAAAGAATGTGCTCTTTTTCGAGAAGTCGTCGTCCAAGACCTAAGGCACCCAATAAGCACCTGGAAATCTATACAAATCCAATAGCGATGGCCTCCAACCTAACAGGCACCCAATAGGCACCTACAGGACCTACAGCTTCAAGCCTGGTCAATTTGAGTCGGGAGTTGGGGGTGCTGACGGTGGTATCGGAGTCAAACCCCTCAAATCCCAAGCCTGGTTGGCAGGCCAAGCGGAAAGTTCAGGAACGCGCTGAGCAGTGATGTCCTAAGTCCGAGGGCTGATTGAAAAGATCGTGAAGAAAGCAAACTGAGAAGCAAACGCAATAGATCTTGTTCTGGACATGCTCAGGCCTAAAAATGTCGAGTATGGGACAATATGGTAAGAATACATATGCAACTGATTCGGGGCCAGGCACATCATCCTCACCCTGTCGCTCGATTCCGCGATTCAATTCAGACCATTCCTGCGTGGTGGAATGAAATTGATACAGTCAAATCGATCAATCCCTTCGGCACTGAACTCCTTTACCGGAATCATTCCATTTCAGTACCCCTTCCTTTTTGACGACTGTTCAGCTTCCAAGCTTTCGACAAAACCGATTGTGCCCAAAGCAAACTAGGTAAATCATGGTGAATCATAGCGAATCCGTGGAAACTACTAGTAACAAATGCCACGCTAGTAGCAACAGGTGCCTTACTAGTAGTAACAAGAAGCTAGTAGCTTCTTGCTACTAGTAGTAATGCCCTTGTTGCTAGTAGCGATGCACTTGTTACTAGTTAATAGCATTCTTGTTATTGTGCTTCAGCTTTCTTTCCAAGTCCTGAAAGTCCATAGGTCCCACAGGCATGCTTTTAGAGCCTGGGCACTTATTCGAAAAAGAACCATGCACTGCTATGCACGCATTCTGACTGTCCACCTCCCCAGATTCGTCGGTGTAGGAGCACGCTGCTCAGCATAAGCTGGTACAGCGCCTGCAATGTGGATACAGCAAGGAATTTGCCCTCCTGATCCTTTTTTGTGAAAGAATATTCATGCTGCAATGGTGCGTATTTAATTCTCCGATGAATTGAAAAAGGATGCTAGAGTAGAGGGTAAAGTATCGGCTGCTAGAGCAAAAGCAATTGTCACAAACTCAAGAAACAGACGTGCTACGGGTCGTCAAACTTTTTCAGAAAGAAGAGGTATCAGCTTGGGGGCAGCGGTTCTATAACTGTAGTCGCAAAACTTGATTCGTTCATTCTGCAAAAGGTGTCTAGAGAGGCATCTTTGCATCGTTCACTCACACAAAACTCGTACACACAAACACACACGCACACACTCTCTTCACAAGACTGTGAAAAAGCCTATGCTTGCAAATCTGCCCCATGCCTCCTGACCCGAGAGGTACTGCAGGAGGTCTAACCTTGCTTGCAAACATATATATATGCAGTATATTAATTGGTTTGCGCACGAGATTGTGTTTATATGTTTACTGTATATGAAATGGAAAAAAGAGAGTGGGTGTGCTTAAGAGAGGACACACTAGCTCAAAATCTATCAACAACACTTTAAATAGCGCGCAAGATTATAAAAACTGCTCTGAGACCTAGGCGAAACGAATATCTTGCTATCTTCCTGTACCAAATTTCTATGTGTCAATGTGTAAAATCAATGATAAGCATTATTTGTTTAACTCTTCTTTGTTCAATATCAATAACTGCCTGGTAATGTGCATTCATGTCTTCTCAATATTGGTCAAAGCTGTTTGGCTTTGGCAGACTTCAGCTTCAACACTCTCCCCTCATGAATGTTGCCTTGATCCCAACGGACCTGTCTATTGTTCCAATAGATTGTTCATGTTATGATTGATTCGTTCTATTCGTCCATCTATGCGTTAATTTCTTTGATGTCCTTTTCATAGGCAAAAAGCAATCCAAATAAGACAGATTTAATTGCTGTATGAATTTGGCTTTGGCTGGCATCTTGCCCAAACCAAGAGAAACAAGAACCATGGCAAGGCAATCAAGAAATACATATATATAACAGCTCAATCTCCAGCACACCATTTTCTCCAACTAACAAAGCACA